ACTTGAGCACCCAAAGCACCTATTACAGCACCTTATACAGCTTGTCTCATTCACTCATTCATACAAGCATTTTTTTTATATGTCTAACTGCTTTCTATCTAACATTTGTACTCACACTCCGAAAAATACACCAGGAACGACTCTGGGTTTGGTATCTTGGCTAAGGAAAGTTTGGCATACAGCCTGCACGCCAAAACTAAACCACAGGCACCTTCAAAAAGAGAGCGGACAAAAAAAGCAAAACACTGCATGGTAATAAAGGTAAGTGTCTGCAGTTGTGGACGTGTGTTCAAGGTACTGGTGAGATATAAAGGAAGACGAGTGTAAAGATCCCCTGCATGGTGGTTTATTTACTAAATGGATCAGGCATGGAGTCCACTATACCTCTGACGGTGCTGTGGACAGATCCTTTAAGTGATGGAAGTTGCGAGGAGGTGATGCTTTGTGGTGCATTATCCTGCTGAGAGAGCCCCACAACCAGCAGGGAATACAATAATGCTTAGGTTGGTGGTATGCTATAAATTAACATCCACATAGATGGCAGGACCCAATGTTTTCTAGCAAAACTGTCAGGACAAGCATAACTTTATCATCAATATGAGCTACAGCAGCTTGTTTGCTGGATCCGACCACCCACCCACGACCCTGTGGCTGGTTCCCCACCTTTTGATAGATACTGACCACTGCAGTAGCTATCAGCTCACAAGAGGTGCAGTTTTGCACATGCTCTGTTCCAGCCGTCTAGCATCACAATTTAGCTCTTGTCCAACTCGCTCAAATCCTTACGCTAGCCCATTTTTCCTGCTTCAAACTCATCAACTTTGAGGACAAAATGATCACTCACTTCCTAATATACCCCACCCACTAACAGGAGTCATGATGAAGAGATAATCAGTCTGATTCAGTTTGCCTGTCAGTGGTAAGAATGATATGCTGATCGGCGTATATTGTGCGATGTATTATGAAAACCTTCCAACATACATGATAAGGCTGCACGTGGCCACAATACTTGCAAATTCAAAAACAGCCTGATTAGACATTAAAAAAAAGTGCCTTTATAAGTTCAATATGAGTTTACTCATTTGTTACCCCAGTGGTGCGTGCACTGCACACATTTCTGACGAATCCAACAACACAAAGCCAATAAAAAGGTATAATCAATAACGAGTACCTCGGGTCACGGCTAAGGATGAAACTGTTGTTGCATGGAGCATTTTACACACACACACAAGAGAAAGATAAGTCTCTTCCTGTCAAAGCTCCCATCAGGGGATGTTATTTGGCAGCTATTTTCTGTCTTTGCTGCCAGTCATGTACTGCATTAATTCATTTGTGGGACATGAAGTGTCCTGAGTGAAAAGCACATGCAAAATGAATGAATGGCTTAATTAACAAGCGGGCGAATTGCAATCAATAAATGAATAAGAAGGCAAGCGTGTAGACAGGAAAATAAATGCAAATAAACCTGTTTTTCTATTACATTTTTTCCATGTTCATTTTTTATTATTGTCTTATTTTTCCTGTTTTCTTGAATTGAAATGAAGTCATTTCAACCTAAACCCTGGGGTCTGGCGTCGACCCAGTCGGCTCAACCGGACCGATGCTGGGATTCATCGGAGCAGAGCAAATTTGTTTGTCTCTGTGTTTGTTTGTACTGGTGTTTGTTTCTCTCATTGTTTGTGTTTATATGCATTTCTGTTGATGGCCTTCTCAAGTGTTTCTCCAACTCTGGCAATTTTCTGCCTGGTCGCCCCTAATGTGCCTCTCTGTTTATTTGCTGTCACAACACAGCTGATTTATATATATTTACAAATCCAGGAAGTGACAGCAGAGAATTATACTTACTTTAAAGGAAATTATACATTAGTGGTTATCTGTTGTGAATGTGAATTTTTGTGTGTGTGTGTGTGTGTGTGTGTGTGTGTGTGCGCGCGTGTGTGATTTACCTATGCCGCAGCTTCACATAACACATGCTATGACTTTTATCAGATATGAAGTCAAGTCAGCCTCAAGAAATATGACAAATGCCTTTGGGAAGATAACCAGTGTAGTGTGAATTCAATCACTTTGGCAACTGACTGCTAATGACACAGGGGGAAACTTTTCCAGGCAGCGGTGATGGGCAATATTGCTTTTAGCAGGGGCTACGAACTGGCAAATTGGAACAAAATCGTGGCTAGAAGAGATAAACGCTTAACGACTGAAAAAAAAAGGCGCTGTTGGCCCAAATGAGCCTATGCATTACTTCAAATTGTTACCGATCCACGAGAGAGAGCCAGATAGAGGAAACATAAGGCTACGTGGTAACAAACTGATTTAAATATATAGGATTTTTCATAGTAATGTATCATCTTTGTGAATCTTTACTGACCATTTTCTAAACTTTTACGATCTATTCACCTATTTTTTCTCTCTTTAGTCATGGTACTAAAACATACGTGTATGACACATTTAAACTTTAATTGTCAGGGATGTGACTAATGATAGGTAGTTAATAGCTAAGGACTGCAAGCTCCTCACAACCAGTAAAAACTAATGGTTGCCCAATGAGCGCGATGAATTTTTTCCACATTAGGCAACTTATAGCTAGTAGTCTGGTCAACCACGTTTTATTGCAGTGGGACCGCACAAGTTGCCTCTCACCAAATAATCACGTCCGACTCAGACTGACTGCAATCACTCTCAGACTGACTGCTCAAAGTTTACAAATGACTCCTGTCTCATTTCTAAACACAGACAGAATGCCAACATGTTGCAATCAATCAGTCTGACTGATTGACTGCGACTGATGAGTCAGTCTGAGAGCAATGCATCAATTTGCAATAGGGAACTCGACTCATCTGGTTGCTAACTGGTGGTATTCGGGCTATATTCCTATACAAAAGAAAGGTTAAAGATCACCTATGTCATTTTGCAGTGCAAACACTGTCCTGCAGCAGCTACGTCACTATTTGTGGAGGAATTGCTGTTTCAGATCTATGAGGTTCTGGCTGGACTCTGAATGTAAGTAGCTAATGTGAATTTCTACATATGTAGATGGTAACAGATTGCAAGACATTGTTGACGTTTAAACATGATTGGTCAGAGGGCCCGGTGGCGCCAGTGTCCGGCAGCCTCGCCTCTGTCAGTGCGCCCCAGGGTGGCTGTGGCTACACTGTAGCTTGCCATCGCCAGTGTGTGAATGTGAGTGTGAATGGGTGGATGACTGAATGTAGTGTGAAGCGCTTTGGGGTCCTTAAGGACTAGAAAAGCGCTATACAAATGCAGGCCATGATCAAAGATTAAATGTAATTTTAAATTGCCAACTTGACCACATTCAGTTGCAGACTCACAGCAGACTGGCTCTTCCCTCGGTCCTCCAAACAACCCTTTAAAAAGTAACAAGATCGCAAGTTCATCACTCAAGTCATGATGGGTGCATGGCGGTGCTGGTCTCCAACCAACGTTATCACTTGTGTGATAGTAATATAAGTCAACATCTGCAGTAAGAAGGCATAGGCGTACTGTAAAATTGGCAAATTTAGCTGCTAGTGTTTTATTTAACAGGGTTAGGTAAGATTTCCTTACAGTGGACACCAGCACACATGCATCCCTCACAATAAAAATAACTAAGATGTATCTGCACTCTATGTGCTGTTAATGACAACAAAAACCCATGTAAAGATGTGGGGTTGGCACAAATGTGTGTGCATGTGTGTTTTTGTGTCTATCAAAATTCAACAAACCCCTCCTGACATTCAAAGGGCTTGGTAACCATGGCGATGCCTGCACCGAATTAAAAAAAAAGGGGAAAAAAAGAGTATATCAAAAGAAAAAAAAAATAGGAAGAGAAGAAAAAATAAAAGCTGAATTGGTGTAGCTCTGTGAAGTAGATAAGGTTGGATGTCAGGCTGGTATTTACAGGAGGGCGTAACTTGTGATGGCAGGCTGTGTGGAGTCAAGTGTTATCCTCTCCGCACCCACACCCCCGTCTCCCTTTCCACTCACACCAAATGCCTGAAACTGCAGCACCGTTCATACACTTAAAATTCTAATACACGATTACCTCACTGTCTTAAGTTAAAGACACACCAATATGCAGGGAAAAATTCACACAACAAACAGGTGTGTAAACCTGTGTATATCTAAATATGTGAATGCGCATTATACCCATCTACGCTGCGCACGCCCAGCTGAATGTTTTAGTTTTGATATGATATCCTTTCAACAACTGAGGCTTTATGAGAGGATGGAGAGAGTGATGAAGAGAGGAGCGAGAGATCAAATAAAAGGCTGAGCATGCTTGCTTCCAGCACGCAGTTACTCAGAGTAAAGAAACGAGCAAAGAAAGAAGAAAAAAAGAGGGAAAAGGTTACAAACAAGAATGAGAGGAAAAGAGTGTGTGTGGGGGGAGGGGTGCACATCAAAACTCTTTGCCTGAAATAGAGGCAAAGTTAGAGCGAAGGTGTCTGGGTGTTAAGTACAACTTTCTGAAGGCACTGAAGTTTCTTTTTTTTGTGTGTTTGTGTTTGTCAGAGTGAATTTCTGCATTTGCGAGCGAGCCGGTTAGAATTAGAGGAGCTTGACAGAGACACGGGGACTGCGAGAGCGAGTCGGCTCATGGATAGATGAGGGTTTTCATGCAAATATAACATTTGGGACGTTAGCGCGCTCTGCCATTTGCATACCCATTCACCCTGACTTGTTTATAAGTGAATAAATCCAGTGCTGCTTAGAGTACAACAGCTGCTGCTGGGCCACTCTCAGCAGCACTCATTCATATACTCATATACACACACTCAGATGGCATACAGGCCACAGCTGCACCCTTGGCATTACTATGCCACCACTTCCTTGTGTGTGTGTGTGTGTGTGTTTGTGCGTATGCTAATCCATTGATACTCATTAATGTATCCATGTGTTGCATTGATAGGCCATCTTCTGAATCTGTCTTTTATAGAGGATGTATAACTACGTGTGCTCAGCAGCACTTGTGTGTGTGCACATGCTCAAAGCCGTACCTCTGAGGTGTTGACTCGTCCCTCCTGGAAGGAGCAGTCGCTGGCATCCTGTGTGCACATGTGGCGATATTTGCACCAGTGGCAGGGGAAGTTTCCGTTGACACAGGACAGGCACCTGCAGCAAGCCAGAACAGGAGAGAGAAAGGATGAGGTTTCCATGATTTATGCATTTATTTCACTCGTGTCTTTTTGTGTCTACATCCTTGAATGTCCTTTAATGGAGTTTGAGTTTCCTGATCCTGCCACAGTGGCTTCCAGTGACAAGCTACAATGAAGAACATAAAAAAGTGTAACTGTAAAAAAGAAAACTGAACATAGGTTTTATGGCATTTTAATTTACAGGTTGCTGCCCCGTGACAGACTCAACATTGCTCTGTCTGCTAATGTAATGCTCAAAATGAATATTTGCAGGCATGTGGCAGACCTCGGTCTCATAATTGTGAGCTCCCATGATGCCCAAGGAAATGGAAACAGGCAGAAACTAGGAGAAACTGTGGCCAGCGGTGAGTTATTTGGATGTGAGGAAAACCAGTGGAAAAACAAGTATATACATTATACTTTGCTTTGTCACAACATCCAGTTTACATTTAAGGATAATTGTACACCACCAGAAAGACGAATTACACTTTTATGCTATAGGCTCTAAAGATGCATAAGAAGATTTGCACTGACAGATAGATGCTAGTTCCTTACTACAATCACAGCTTTCCCTTAATGAGAGAGTGAAAGGCAAAGAAATAGAGCTGACTTTGTTGGTCGTTTCAGATACTGAAGTCTCTCATTATTTCAAGTGCCAAAAGCATACCAAGGCAATAGAGCATAAATCTATGTTTCCTGAAAATTGAAGGCATAATGTAATGAAGATCAAAAATGATAACATAATGTATTTCATTCTTCTTAAGCAGCTACATGTTTTATGTATCATATACCAGCCAGTTATTGTCCTTAATGTCAATAATTCATCCTTATTGTTACTGGTTGTAGGCAACGCTGATGCAAAAGGATTGAGTCACTTTCATTTCTTTATATTTTGCTAGAAAAACTGTTATAGAGTAGATCCAGTGATTTCTTGAAACCTGGAATTCTAAGAAGCTTGAAAGCCAATATTTGGCATGACCACCTTTATTCTTTCACACAGCCTGAACTCTCTTCTTTTAATTTTGTTCAGTAGTCTTAAGTAATAGTTTTCCAGGTTTCTTGAAGGACATTCAAAGCTCTTCTTTGAATGTTGGCTGCCTTTTGTTCTGTTTTCTGTAAAGATGCTTCAATAATGTTGAGGTCTGGGCTCTGGGGAGGCCAATCCATGACTGATAGCATTCCTCCGTTTGTTCTGTACGTTTTCCAGGTGTGCTTTGACTGCACTGGCAGGGTGATTGGGACCAATCACATGCTTTCCACATGGCAATGCATGGTGGATCAAAATGCGAGGGTACATTTTGATTCAATGACTTTTGACACCATGTCAGAGCCTCCACTGCAATGATGTCTTATATACAGAGTGACAATTATAAATGAAGTTCAAATTAGCTACTGATTTTGAGTCTAGTTCATGTCTAGTTTGGCATATCTCAACCTTTTATCCATGTTTTCCTTCCTTAAAAATGGTGTCTTGACAGCCACGTTTCCACTGAGACCATTTCTGATGAAGCTTCAGAGTGAACCATTGATGGATCAGCACGAGAGCTAGATGCATCTATCAGCCCCAGTATCAGGTTTTTCAGCTTATCAGCTAATAGCTCTTTGGGAATCACATTGCTGGCACAAAATGATTTTATGGCATTTTTTATGGATTCAAATAAACTATGTGATAATGAGAGAGGTGGTTAGCAACAAAGTGCCTAAAGATATCATTTAAAACTGGTTCTTTGCTATGTTTTCTGTTAGGTGTAGACACAACCCTGGTTAGGTGCATTTTTAATGCCTTAATTCATAGATCACTGTTAAGAGGCTTAACAAGCAAAAACAAACAAACATGAAAAAGAAAACAAAAAACATTCTCTAGTCAGGTACAATGACTGGACTGAAATGTAATGTCTAAAGAAAAACTTTAAAACACCTTCACAAACTTTGGAGAACTATTGATCAAGACCATTTTTTAAAAACTGAGAAGAAAGTCTTTGAAAGGAAAAATAAAATGTGGGGTGTCTTAAGACTTTTGCACAACTGAATTTAGCAACATTTGAGCCAAAGAGACATTCCAAAATTTCTATACTGCAGAATTCTAAGCATAAAATGCACTGAAGGAAGTCCAGCTACTATGACCTGCATTCTTTGCAGATTATGGACATGTGTAGGTGCATTTGAAATATCAACACGACTTATCGCACCGTGGCAGCCCAGCACTGACTTGCATCAACATAGTAGCACAAAATTTTCAAGAAGCACAACTGCAGCTTCCTTCATTAAGACTTTATTTGAGCTGTCAGCAAGGCCAGAGGGCGGGTTACTGAACAGCCAGGAGGAGAGAGCAGGAAGGAATCCTTGGTGATCCACTCCTCCCTTCGTATTCTCCATGCTTGGAGGCTTAAAGTTAAACTAAGCTGGCAGACCAAGATAAGCCAGTTTTTCTATAACTTGAGGAAGAGAAAAAAAAAAAGAATGCATACACATTCAAACATGGATTACCAGACAAAGACAAGGCTATCATGGTCACTACAAAGAAGCAGCGGAAGGGAAAATGCCATGGCTAGTAATGCTGTTAATATGAGAAGTTTCAAAGTTGTTCAATTACTTTTTGGCTCTGAAGTCTCTACTTGATCACTTTCCTCAAGTGATTTCACATCAGCGGTGTATTAAATTACACTCTGCTTTCTGTCAATCATCTGACACCCAGAGGAGCAAAGAGAAAGTGTTCACTTCATAAACATGTTGCAGAGAGAACGCTTAAATTCAAGCTCGCTGTCAAGGAAAAATACAAAAATTTAAAAATACAGTGACAGAAGTAGAAATGTTCAGTAAATCCCCCCCAAAAAATCTTACAATTAAAACAAGTCATAGCTATGCAGTCTTTACACCGCTTCTAAACTAAATGTCACTTAACTGGCTTGAGAAAAGCAAGCTCTAATTACATGTCCTGTCAGTCCTCACTCCCATATGCTGTCACTGTACTCAATCAGACCTCCGATAACACCCACACCCACCAGAGGAACTGACTGAGAACCTGCGGGGTCTTTTTTTCATTATTGTTTTTTATTTATTTAACCAGCATCTGGTTATTACTGCCACCTCCAACTTCATCGTTTCTTGATAGCGCTGTCTTTCTAAGCCTGTGTTACTTTCCTGTTGTGGTTGTTTGTTATATAGAACCAAGATTTTCTGCTCAGGAATATCTTGAGCTAAAAGACCAAAACAAATAAACAAAACAAGAAATGAAAAGTAAAACATAATTAAAACAAGTATTTTATGGCACCCTTGAAGCCAAATTCGCCGGGGCTTTAAAGGATTGGACAGGAAAGTGAAAAAGAGCTCGTACTTAGTTGGGAAAAAAGATTCAAGAGATATAAAAACCTCAGCCACCACCTTCTTAGTTTGACTGACAAGCGATCTCTGATAAGTCTAGTTCAAGAACACCACAGTAACGCAAACCAGGTCCACCAAGCTGAAGGACAATTGCTCAGCTGACAATGCCACCCTGCTGCCGGAAACACTGACTTTAAATTGGATCTCAGCCTAATCCTCTTTCTGTCTTCGGGTCTATGTCCTTGGTTTTTTAGATTTTCGAGGGTTAACTCTTAAATCGCCCGCGCCGGAGTACCAAAGCAACGGCAAAGGCTTCATATAGCCAGAGTTAAGCTGGTGAGACTAGACTGAACTGCGGCGTGAGGTTTTTAATCAATGCCAGTGGATTTCCATGGAGGGAAGGGTGGACTGAGGTTATGCTAACAGTCTGATGTTTGTTAACAGAGCTGGTGAGCCAGTTCCTCCTCACTATTAACTCCGGGCTTGATCGATTTCCCGTTGCAGGGCAGTGCGCGCACACATTCACAAGCAACGAGTGTGAGAGCTCAGACTACAACATCGAGCTAAGGCAAACTTATGCACGCAAGTCATCACCCGTGCTGACATCGAGGCATTCCTCCTGGGTCACCTGGGCAGTGGAGACTTGTCCTACAGTAGAGCTGTCAATGCCTGGACAACCGGCTTGGGTAAGTGGCGGCGCTGCTGCAGTGCAGTCAATAAAGTCCCCTGCTATTTAACAAGGCCCAGCAACAGCTCCGGGTCAAACGCCTTTTCATCTTCTCCAAGCTTTTGTTCGAGGGAGGATGGATCGATGGAACAAAGCTGTTGATGTGCGTGCAACGGCCCCGCTCAAGCATATATGAAAGGAGGGAACGATCATATCCTCATTTAAATCTGGTCAATGAGGATAAAGTCATGGATAAAACTGCAATTCTGTCTTAATTTGCAGGCTATGCTTTTATCTGCAGCTCAAACAAACATGTCAGCATGTGGTGGGCCCAAAAGTGACCCATTTGAGGCATGAAGCTGAAAGCTTTTAACGCCGTAATCAGTACTTGAAGCAGCTATAAGCGCAGCGTGATTTTGATTTAGAACCTCTGATTGGTTGGATAATGTATCTTGCAGATATCTGCCTGTGCTTCATGTGCACGGTGCTGCTTGGAACCTGGGGTAGGCTGGCTGTGCTATGTGGTCTATAAATAGGCCTCTTTGTGTTTTATCCAATAAAGCTCCAAAGTGAGCGGCAATAAAATGATGCATACATCATTAAGTTATACAGCAGCACGGCAGCCAAATGAGAAGTTTAGATTCTCACCAGGGGACTCAGACTCATTATACGGTATTATTGCATCTTGTCACGGCAATGTCCAAAAGCAGTAAGTCTGCGAGTCTCAACCCTCAGCTTAATTAAACCAGGTCACATTCACTTAAAACCCAGACCAACAACTTATTGTCTTAATATCAACAAGTAATGATGTAATGACAGAAAAGTTTGACTATAAACTTTTTTTTTCTAGCAGTGGATAAAGAGTGGGGCGACGGGGAATGACGGGCCTCAAAATAAGAGCCCTTTCCAGGGGCTGGAGTGTGAGCCGGTCCCCCTCCCTGGAGTGCTTCTTTTCACTGCATAGATTTCAGCCCTTTCATATTGTAATGGTCATGGTGGCCTGAGGCTGTGGCGCTAACCTTTTAGCTGTGTGGGACGCATTATTCCCGACACAATGGGCACAATTTCTGTTTCGTTCGGCAACACTCGGCTTTATCTCTCTCTTTCTTCCTCTTGAAGACTTCTTTCTCGCTCGTCTTTTCCCGTCTCCAGCTCTCCCAGAATGTGAATTTCCTTCCCCCTCCAGCACCCTGCCACCTGTTTGTTTCTATGCCTCTCTATATATTATTCCTCCTCCCGCACGCTCAATTAAACTATTCCAAACCTCTTTTTTTAATGCAAATTTTGGATATTGTATATGTAAACAGCTCACAGCGCAATTCACCCGCGCCAAGTACTGTGGCTTCTGTCTGCGTGCGCTCCCTCTGACTGTGCGTGCACCTGTTTTGTGTGTTTGCACGAGCGTGTGCACTGCTGGTGATGCTGGTGCCCGCATCCAACTTTGAGCCCGTCTGGGCGCTCGCCTGCAGGCCCGCTCTGCTTGTGCATCTGTGCTGATACAGTACCACTGTTGTGCGTTTGCTGTTGTGCTTCTACGCTGGGCTTTCATCCGCCCATCACGCCCACGAGGATGACTCAATTACCGTCCCCTGAAAGCAGCGACTTCTTTACTTCGCTCCCTGCAGGCGGAGGTGGTTGTTGGGCGGGTCAAAGATTTTGAGGTGAAAGGTGAAGAGTATTGCATGACACGCGGGTTTGTGTTACAGCTGCAGTGGCAGTAACAGCGCTGTATTATTATTTATTTTTTTAACAGTCCAACAGAGTCCTGAGGGGGCCCTGCAAAGCCAACATCAAAGGCTTAAACAACAGCATGCCTGTTTATGCTGCAAAGAGAGCGCAACTAGGCGGGCTAGTTAATCAGGGGTACGCAGCATAAACACACACCCACACACACATTAGTAAACATGTCCTGCATGCATACAAATATGAATAAATAGGCACTCTGGAGTTACTTTGACACATCCTGCATGCTCTTTAACAAACGGAAAACTACACACACACATATTCATAAAAAAAAAAGAATCAAAGCCATTCAAGTAGGCCTGGAGGCCCCGAGAAGTGGCCCAGGTGAGCGCTCTCTCCAAGCCCACTCCATTATGACCATCTCCACACAGGCACCTCAGCTAGAGCTAATTAACGGCCTATTACTATGCAGATATATGCAGGGCCGAGAGCAGAGCGCGAGCAATAAATGGGCTTGATGAACGAGAGAGAGGCAAGGAATGGGAGGTGTGCAGGGGCAGAGACGGGTTGGGGCCAGGCGACAGAGAGATGGGCAAAGTGATGAATGGGAGAGGAGAAGTCAACAGGCAGACAAGAGGACAGTGGGACAGCAGGAAAGGAAAAGAGAGCTGTAGGCTGCAGGGAGTGAGGATCGGATGGTAGCGGGACAAAGACACTTATAATGCTGGTGAATCAGTAATTAAAAGCTACTGTCATGACTTAACATATTAAACCCTCATACAGCCCACATACAGTAAAAAAAAGACAATTCTGCACATGTTTACATATAAGAATCATTTTCAGGATGCCCCTAATTCTTTTAAGATATAAAACAGGTGTAAACACTGAGAGAGGAAGTGATTCTTCAGTCAATGCTTGCCAAGAGAAACAATAAATCTACTTTAGTTATACTACACATGCTTTTTTCATTTCAGGTGTATTGATGCAACTAGGAGTCTGTGCCAGGTGGAAGTGAATCGAATGCGAGAAAGAGAGGAAAAGTGTGTGCGAAGTCCGAGCACTGACTTCAGGGGGAGCAGCCAAGACTCATTTAGCAAATGACATTTTATTTATTTTCATTTAACCTTTATTTAACAAGGCAGGAACACATTCTTTCATTCATTATCAGGATGATCTCAGTACTCTGTCACTCTCTCTAATACCCCCTAGTCCCCCCCTTCCTGTGTACGCACAGAAAGACAAAAAAAAGAAGAGTGTCATGTAGAAATTGTTTTTGATAGAAATTTAGTGACAAAAGAAAACGTTTTTCCTTCCCACTGTCGCCAAGTGCTTGCTTAAAGTAAGTCAGTGATTTTGGGGGTTTTCACTGTATTATTGTAGAGTCTTTACCTTACAATATAAAGCACCTTGAGGCGACTGCTGTTGTGATTTGGCGCTGTATAAGTAAAATACAATAGAATTGAATTGAAAAGACTGTTTACCTCTCCTTGTTTCCTGTCTTGCACCTTCTTTTTAAGCAACAGACACAGACATGCATATAAAAACCTGCTTTCAGAACACTGTTGAAAAGTCTACCAGTATTCCTATACTTAAATTAGGGATAATATGTTTCCCGGGAACATGAGTGACGTCTTTTTCCTCCCAAGCTTGGCTGCTCTTCTAAGTCTTCCATGGTTAAGAATCGATTTATTATTTCACTCACCAGTAGTCCCTTCATTGCTTTAGATTTAATTAACTAATTGATTTGTAAAAAGCTTGAACAGATTGAATACTGAATTAGAAACGGCTGCATGGTTTTCTCTTGATTCCTGCATTAAACCAGTTATTTACACCTGCAGGTAAGTAGCAGTATTTTAGCACTTTTTCTTTTAAAACTTCAGCCACCTGTTGATTTTCATCTTGCATCTGACCAGCAGTATGATCTTTGTATTGAGGTTTTGGAGACATCTGTCAAGTAACTGTGTGATGTTAACTTTTTGGATGTGTGACAATCATGGTGACAATGAAAGATCAAGTAAATAAAGGTCCAGTTAGACAGGCCAGGACCATCTGGCACCCAGCAATCTGAATTCTGTATTTCTGGACAGGTTCTGAACTGGGAACATTCAAAAAGCACCGTCAATCAGTAAAGAAATATGCATTTTTCCCTAGCAACCAACATCCAATATGGATGACAACTCTTGAGCAATGAATGATGTCATTGAGAAACCTCAATAGCTATTTAAAAGAGTGTTAAAGCAATTTAACAGAGAAACTAAAAATAAACTGATATTTTTCTCCTTTCGCCCCATCCTACTTAGCAACAAGCTCTCAACTTACGATTGGTGGACGCTGCAGTTGTAGAAGACAAAATCCACACTGGCAAACTTCTTCCCAGTTTCCTTCGACTTTAGATACAACTTTATTATGCGTCGGTCACCTACAAAGTCAAACATAACAAACACATTGTGTTTTATTAGTGTTTTTCTTTACAAAGAATGTCAAGTGGCAAAGACGAGTAAAACCCACTGCATAATAACCGATCCAAATAAATGAATCCACATTCTTTAAATATTACGAAGGTGTGCATTAACGTTTAGATCTGTGGAGCTTTACAGGCACAAACTCAACAACAGTGTTTTACATTTTAGTTCTTTGAACAGGATCAAAAGGTACTCTTTCATACAACAACACTGGCATCATCACACTAGGAGCAGCAATGCATTGTACTGGTAAATTTGAATTATTAACGCCTTTTCTGCAATCTTCACATCAGTGGGCGTGATTGGACCCTCTGCTGAGACAGTTCTGACCTCCCGGCCTTTATGTATGACACCCTACTCTATACTCCACTCTATATTTCCATAGTCCATCTATAACAGTTCGTATATGGAAAATGTTTCATGACCCCAGGAGCAACCTGGTCCTAGTCAATGTATACACTTTCACTGTTCCTGTAAATCTGCAGATTTGGAGACAGCACTTCTGCTGGAGAGTAAAAAGAGCTCTGAGCAAAATCTATTTATTAGAGTTACTCAGTGGCGAAAACACTTACAGCTGTCTATATACATTCATGGGCTTTCAGCGGTATGTTTATAAATGTGCTCATTCTAATTTTGATAATCGAGAAGCAGTGGGTGAAGCCGAAGAGAAAAATGTCTTGTGTCTCACACAGCTGAATAAACTGTCAAATTAAGCAAACAATTCATATTTAGCATCGAGCAAAACTGTTCAGCTGAAAAGCCCGTCATCGTCTCCCCAAACAAAAGTTTGTTAGACGGCTGAAATGTAAAAATGCAAAAAGTGACACTGTGTGATCTAATAATGTATGTCCAACTGAAAGCAGGACTAAATTACTGCAGCAGATTTGAGAAAGC